AGCTATGTTACTGTGGGAAGGAGGTTCTGCTTTTATTTCCATAGGAAATGAGAGGCTATGGATTCATTCTGGGTTAAAAAAAATCGGGTTTGATCAAGAAAGACCCTCTGAAAAATCTGACTACAAATGTTAATAAATAACCTTAAAAGACTACAGGACACATGATGTATATTTTACCTGTTCAAACATAAAACGAAAAAAATTTTCTTTGGCTGACTTGTGTACAATACACAGTATATACTTGTATTAATATAGATATGTATGTTACCTTTAAAAGTTGGTGTGTTTTCAGAGGAAGGAGACCAGACACCAACAAAAATGAATAACCCAGGTGATCTAGCATCCAGAACTGCTTCTAGGTTGCTGACTGAGATGATCTAGCCTCACAGAATACTACAGCCAAGACTTAACAATTTTCCTAAATTTTCCCAGGGTCTCTCAAAGATTACCAGCACCCCCAATGAACAGGAAGTAGTCTAGAGAACTATACTCACATTCCCAAAAATAAACTATTAATGTTTTTTATTGTTTAGGTGGGTTGGTTATAAGTTGTTATGGATTAATGGTCAGAAAAAAAGCTAAACAAAGGAAATTGGATTCAGAAATCTTGTTCTGAAAAGAAAAAGGGGGGGACATAGAAATGATAGACTAAAAGGGTAGATTATGGAATCTACTTTAATCTAAAAAACAACTATTAATCATACATATTTTACATTGGTATGGATTTTGGTTAATTGATACAAATTTAAAGTTAATTTTGTTATACTGTATATATATTTCTTTTCTTTTTTTTATTTTGCAATACAATTCAGTTTTACATATCAGCCACGAATTCCCTTGTTCTCCCCCCTCCCTCCCCCCTCACCTTCCCCCCAGCCCACCCTCCATTCCCATCTCCTCCAGGGCAAAGCCTCCCCCGAGGACTGAGATCAACCTGGTAGACTCAGTCCAGGCAGGTCCAGTCCCCTCCTCCCAGGCCAAGCCAAATGACACTGCATAGGCCCCAGGTTTCAAACAGCCAACTCATGCAATGAGCACAGGACCTGGTCCCACTGCCTGGATGCCTCCCAAACAGATCAAGCCAATCAACTGTCTCACCCATTCAGAGGGCCTGATCCAGTTGGTGACCCCTCAGCCATTGGTTCATGTGTTTCCATTCATTTGGCTATTTGTCCTTGTGCTTTATCCAACCTTGGTCTCAACAATTCTCGCTCATATAAACCCTTCTCTTTCTTGCTAAATGGACTCCCAGAGCTCCACCCGGGGCCTAGCCATGGATCTCTGCATCCAGATCCCTCAGTAGTTGGATGGGGTTTCTAGTACGACAATTAGGGTGTTTGGCAATCCCATCACCAGAGTAGGTCAGTTCGGGCTGTATCTCGACCATTGCTAGCAGTCTGTTGTGGGGGTATCTTTGTGAATTTCTGTGGGCCTCTGTAGCACTTTGCTTCTTCTTATTCTCATGTGGTCTTCGTTTACCATGGTCTCCTATTCAACCTAGATGCCCTTCAACTGAAGAATGGATAAACAAAATGTGGTGCATATACACAGTGGAATACTACTCAGCAGAGAAAAACAATGACATCATGAGGTTTTCAGGCAAATGGATGGATCTAGAAAAAATCATCCTGAGTGAGGTAACCCAGACTCAGAAAGACAAACATGGTATGTACTCATGCATAGGAGGATACTAGATGTGGAACAAGGATGACTGGACTGCTACTCACATCACCAGGGAGGCTACCTGGAAAATAGGACCCCAAGAAAGACACGGGGATCACCCAATGATGGAGAAATGGAAGAGATCTACATGAACAGCCTGGACATGAGTGGGGGTAATGAAGGGCGAGGGTCGAGGGAAAGAGAGCTTGGGGGAGCGGGAGATCCCAGCTGGATCAAGAACAGAGAGGGAGAACTGTATATATATTTCTAATCTTGTTTAGGGTATTATGTTTATGCAGCTCATTTAAAAACATAATATATAATTAAGAAATACAGATTAGCAGTCATCAATAAACAAACTTATAGTCATGTTAGTTAGGTTTTCAAGGTCATATGGAGATTAAATTTTCAGATAGATAGGCAATCTTCAAACACTTGAAAGACCTACAGAATATGGCATTTAAAATGTTTTAAGAACTTAGACTTTTCTCGATAGTGAGACATTTCTGCTTCTGGTAGCACCAAATACTTCAAAGAGGATAATGGGCATTGAAGAAACTCCATATGGAGTTTGTTTTCTTTATGACAAAAGCTAGCCATGTGGGCAAAGAAACTGCTCTTGCCTCAGTTGCTGACAGTTACTATCTAAACTGGACAAGCAGGCTGCAAGAAAGGTGACTGCTGAACTTTGCTAAGACAAGGCAGGACACACCTTCAAAAATCCCTGCTTCACAGGAAAGTCTGTCAGATATGCTAGGCCTGTAGGCCAGAGTTGGAAGCCCCAACATTACAGAGGGACTTTGGGTGACTATCTAGGCAGCCTGATGTCCCTGTCATTAGGTAATATTTTACCCTTCTAGGGCCTTTGATGGAGTTGAAGTCTAAATAGTTATAATTATAGTTTTCCTTAGTTATAATAGAAAGTAAATTAGATACAAAACTTTAGACTCACTAAGATAAGATAGATAATTATTTGATTTTGCCAAATGCAAATGGATTAGATATTGTTACTATAATTCTTACTTTAACTATTTTTGTTGCATATAGTTTTACTATATTAAGGTTGAAACCTTCCTTTTTAATTAGATAATAAGGAGGAAATGCTGTGGAACAATCCTTTTCTACATCATGAATATGTATTACTCTCATTGGTTAATAAAAAGCTGACAGGCCAATAGCTGGGCAGGAAGTTAGGTGGGAAAGCCAAACTGAGAATGATGGGAAGGAGGGCAGAGTCAGGAGGAGACACTAGCCAGCTACCGAGGAAGCAAGACATGCTAGAGGACAGGTAAAGGCATGAGCCATGTGACAATACATAGATTAATAGAAATGGGTTAATTGAAATGTAAGAGTTATCTAGTAACAAGCCTGAGCTATCTACTGATCATTTATAATTTATATTCAACCTCTGAGCTGGTTATTTGGAACTTGGCAGTAGGGACAGGAAATGTCCATTTATAGTCTTACTTTCTGCACCTTGCTAGTTGTGTTGATTATCATCTACTACAAACAAGCTTTTAGTTGAAAAATGCATTAATCTATGGATATTCCAATAAATGGTTAGGAGTCAGCTTAATATTATGTCTATTTGGCATAATGATAGCAGTATGCCCTCTCCTAGGGTCTATGACTTGTCTAGCCACAAGTTGTTGATCAGGTATCAGTGCTAAGGTATGTTTCAGCTTGTGGAGTGGACCTTAAATCTAATCATAAAGTGGTTGGTTTCTATCACAACATACATACTACTATTTTACCAGTGGACATGTATTGCCAGGCCATTCATTATTATCCTTCATAGAGGTCACAACTGAGTAAGAGTGATGGCTACTTTTCTCCTTTGGTATCATGCATAGCACCTTCCAACATTAAGAAGGCTAGCCACAGGACTGAAGCTTATAGGTCACTACCAGCTTGATTTCTCCATGTTCTAAGACTTACACAAGTGGTGCCTTTAGCACTAGGATCTTACTGACAAATTCTAGAGGGCAACAAATAGTGTTTTGAAATTGGGTTGTTTGTTTTCTTGATGAGGAAATTATAAATCATAACATTTTCTTGATTTCTTTCATAGTATGTTTGTCCTTTGTATATAGGAAGGCTACTGATTTGGGGATATTTATTTTGGATGTTGCTGCTTTGTAGAGTGTGGTTATCAGTTGTAGTTTTCTGATGGAGTGCTTAAGGTCTTTTATGTATAAATTCATGCCAATAAAGATGTTTTGGCTTCTTCTTTTACCATTGTATTCATTTTATCTCCTTCATATATCTTATTGTATTAATTGAGACCTCATGCCCTGTGTTGAATAGGAATGGAGAGAGTAAATATCTTTATTTTATTCTTGATTTTAGTGGAAATGTTTTGAGATAGTCTCCATTTAGAATGATGTTGGTTGTGACTTTTCTGTATATTGCTTTATTTATGTTGAAATACAGCCCCTGAATCTCTATTTCCTCTAGGACTTTTATTATGACTGGATGTTGGATTTTGTCAAAGGCCTTTTCTGCATTTAATGAGATCATTATACTGTTTCTGTTGGTTAGTCTATTTATTTGGTGGGTTATATTTATTGATTGATTATAGTGAACCTGAGTCTCTGGAATGGATGTTACCTGATCATGGTGGATGATCTTTTTGATGTATTCTTGAATTTGGTCTGAAAGTATTTTAGAGGATTTTATCGTGTGTGTTCAACAAAGGTATTGGTCTATAATTTTGTTGTTTTTGTGAGGACTCCATCTAGTTTTTGTATTAGTGTAATACTGGCTTTCTAAAGGGAACTTGTAAAGTTTCTTTTTCCATTTTTCAGAATAATTTGATATGTATTGGTGTTGGCTCTTTGACAATCTTATAGAATTCTGTACTAAACCTAACTGACACTGAGCCATTTTATTTTTTTAAGTTGGAGATCTTAAAAACTATATTTTTGTGTACGAGTGTCTGCCTGCACCTATGTCCATGCACCATGTGCTTGCCTGGTACCCAAGGAGGCCAGAAGAGGGTGTGGGATTCCCTGTAACTGGAGTTAAAGGCAATTGTGGGCCACCACGTGAGTGCTGGGAATTGATCTGGGTCCTCTGGAAGAGCAACCAGTACTCTTAACAAATCATTCTTCTCTCTAGCCTTATTTTGTAGATATTTTTATTACTGTTTATACTTTCTACCTCACTGGATGTTATGAGTCTCTTTAAATTATTTACTTAGTCTTTTTTTTTTTTTTTTTTTTGAGGTGGTTGAAGAAGTCAGTGGACTCTATTTCTTTACTGCTTCTGGAGTTTGGGGCTTGGAAGCTCTTGGTGGAGTGGGTTCATTTCCTCTTCACAACCACAGGCTTCTGACTTCACAGGATGACACTGGCCTCATGGATGGTCACCATGCACAGATCAAGAAAGTACTTGCTCTTGCTGATCATGTGCCTGATGCTGCTGAGAGTGCCCGTGATCATCACAGAAGTAGGTGGTTTTTGCTGACTGGATCTGTGTTTCATGACCAGCATTACCCCTTTGCGGTTGGCCACAGGCTCCATCCCCACAGTTTTAAGGTGAATCAGCCGGTTGTAGTAGAAGGAGTTGAAGGCCTTTAGATTATTGGGATATGTGATGTATGGCTGCTTATTCGTCTTGATCAGGAATCTGAAGCAGTTCCGAACAACCATCCTCTGCAGGTACACAGACATTGCAGCAACTCCTCTCCCTGCGGTAACTAGAGACAGAAAGAGCTATTTACTTAATCTTGATTTAACTTTAGTGTTTTTTTTTTTCCTGTGTAATGATGTGATGTTTATTTAAAATGATTTCCCAATTTGTCCAACAATTTATCACACTTTTACTTTCACCTCAATCAACACACTTTTATATTTTATTTTAACCATGTATGCTATTTATTAATATCCGATTCCAGGATGTTGACCAGTGAGTAGTACACAGTTCAATTAGACCCTTGGTAGCTACGGTGTCCTTGCTGGATTCTTGGGATTTTGGTGATGGTGGCTGCTCCTTCAGGTCCTGTCTCCACCTGCTGCAAGACTTTAGCAACACACACCTCCACTCAAGGCCTCTTTGTTGTCTTCAAAAGATAAATATAAATGTATTTATATATCTAGAAATTCATCCATTTCTTTCAGGTTTTCCACTTTTGTGGACTGACTTTCAAAATAAGTCTTTACGATTCTTTGAACTTCCTTGATATCTTTTGTACTGTCTCCCTTTCATCTCTAATTTTATTGATTTGAGTAGTCTCTATCTTTATTTTGGCTATTTTTGCTAAATGTTTGTTAATCTTCTCAAAGAGCCAACTCTTAATTTCATTTATTCATGTTTTTTTCCATTTCTATTTCATGAATGTGAGACTTGATTTTAATTATCTCTTTTTGCCTACTTTTTAAAAGATGTTGATTGCTGTTATTGTTCTTTTAAGGCCTTTAAGGGTACATTGTTAAGTTATTAACTTAAGATCTCTCAAGTATTTTTCTGTGGGCACATAGTGTTACAAATGATCTCTTTAGGACTGCTTTTGTTGTGTCCCATAGGTTTTGGTCTTATGTTTTCATTTAATTCTAGAAATCTTTAAATTACCTTCTTGATTTCTGCCTTCATCCAATTTTGATTCAGTAGTGTGATAGTTTCCATGCATTTGTGTACTTTATGTCATTTCTATTATTGTTGATTTATAACTTTATTCATATGTGGTCAGGTAATATGCAGGATGTTGTTTAAACTTTCCTAAATATGTTGAATCTCGGTTCATTTCTTGATATGTGGTCTATAGTCCACTTCCTAGAACCGAGTTCTGCTTTAGCTACTTTTCTATTGCTGTGCTAAGACAATATGATCAAGACATCTTATTAAGTTGGAGCTCATGGATCCAGATGGTTAGAGGTCCAAAACTATCTTGAGAGAGAGTATGCCAGTAGGAAAGAAGACATGGCACTGGAGTAGTAGCTAAGAGCTTACATCTTGATATGAGAGAGAGAGAGAGAGAGAGAGAGAGAGAGAGAGAGAGAGAGAGAGAGAGAGAGAGAGAGAGAGAGAGAGAATGGCATGGGCTTTATAAAACCTCAGAGCCTAACAAGGCCAAATCTCCTAATTCTTCCCAAACCATTCCAACAACTGGGGACCAGGTATTCAAATGTAGAGCTTATGAAAAGCATTCTCATCCAAACTACCACAGGCATGTAATCACATAACTACTAATTTCTCCTTCCAACTACTGCATGAAATTCTGCCCACTATAGACCTTCAGGGTTGTCTCAGAAGAGAGCTTTATTTACTGATGGTTCTGCATACTATGTAGGCATCATCAAGAAGTGAGCCCTCAGTAAATGAATCTTCTTTTCTTCAGCCTACTGATCATTGGGAACAACCCATGAGGTCATAGATGTATTCTTGGGTGCAGGGTCGTTGTAACAGGAGTAGAAATAGTTATTTGAAGATGATGGCAGAGCCTTGATCCAAAGCCCCAAGAGTCTCCACTAGGATTCATCTATAGGGAACTGCCAGAGACTCCAAATAGTTTCTCTATCTGTTATTGACCCCTTAAATACTGTCATATCTGATGGGTCATATAGCCCAAGTGGTAGAGCAGCCTACAGGGAAGCCTGGATCTGTTGAAGAACTTTCTTCTGTTCTAAGTCCTACTCAATGCTAGAAGCTTTCCAAATCACTTGATCCAAGTTAGGAATGTGCTGTCTCCAAAATTCAAATAGGCCCCCTAAACATTGTTTATTTCTTTGTGGTTGAAGGGGCCAAGTACAACAACTTGACTTTTACCTTAGTACAAATATTTTTGAATTCTCTACACCACTAAATTCATAAAAAATTCACTGAGTCCAAAAGCCCTGGAATTTTGGTTGGATTCATTTCACATTCTTTTGTGTGAAGTGCAAGTGAAATATATTGTCTTTTCCATCAATGGGTTAAATGAAGTAAAGGAAGTTCTATCTTTGAAGAAATTTATAAAGACACCATCTGGAGAAAAAAATCCTTCCTACTGTCAGCATTTTTCAAAGATCAAAGTATGTGCTCAAGGCTTTATCCTGTTCTCCAAAGATGCATTTTGCTTATCAGCAGAGCTGTTTTGAATTATCCAACAACATAAGAATGAAGTCAAGCTCTGACCACTCAGAGTGAAGCACAGGACCTCTTTGCATTAGTAATAAAAACTCAGAGAAACTCCTAATGGGTGTACTTGAGTGCTTGACTTGGCATGACTGTGCACTCTCCTGAAAAAGGAAAACTTTTTGCCTTACTTGAATACGTTGGCTTGTACAGTCATTTTCTTGAGACCCAGTCCCATTTTTTAACACCCTGATGCATAGAAAGTCCAGAGCACAGACTGGTTGCTACCTCTTTGTCAGTAGCTCCAGTCAGCATAATGTCATCAATATAATGGACCAGTGTGATATTTTGTAGAAAAGACAGGTTATCAGGACCTCTTTGAAACAAGTTTTGATGCAGGGCTAGAGAATGAATATACTTTTGAGGTAGAATGGTAAACATATACGATGACCTTGCCAGATGAAATCAAATGGCTACTGTTGGTCCTTATGGACAGGTATTGAGATAAAAAGCATTTGTTAGATCAATAGCCGCAAACTAGGTACCAGAAGATATGTTAATTTGCTCACATAAGGAAACCATAGCTGCTCCAGGAACTGCAATTAAAGCCACTACTTGATTAAGTTTGCATAGACAACTGTCATTCTACAATATCCTTTTTTTTTTTTTTTTTTTTTTCTGAGCAGGCTAAATAGGAGAATTAACAGTAGATGTGGTGGAAACCACCACCCTGAATCTTTTAACTCCTTGATGCTAACATTAGTTTCAGGAATCCCTCCAGGGATGTGATGTTATTTCTGGTTCACTATTTTCCCTGGAAAAGGCAAACTGGCAGAGGTGGGTCACTGGGATGAGGCTTTTTAAGGGTAAGCCCTGCTCTAGGTCTTGTCTCATTGTTTTCTGCTTCTGGATTGATCAAGAAATGGTCAAGTCATACTGCATCCTTCTTTACCATGGACTATACCACAGCAGCTGCCATGCCTTCCTTACTATGATGGATTGAACCCTCTGAAGCTGTGAGGCAAAGTAAAAATTTTCTTCCTTAAGTGGCTTCTGTCAGATTATTTGTTACAGCACTCAGAAAAGTGACCGTGTAGCATATAATTAAGTATACATTCAATATTTTTCATTTTGTGATATTTATGAACCTCTGACATTCAATACTTAGGGGTTAAATAGTCAGATAAACTAAAAAAAATGAATGGATTCATTTTATAGTTTTCCATTTTTTCAATTTTTAAATTTACCAACACACAGCCTGTACCAAAAGGATAGCAATGAAAGTAATAATAGTCAAAAATTAATTAAATGACTGTATTTCAGCCACTAATTCTTTTTTTAGGCACTATGAACTAAAAGAATGCAGATTGAGCACTTTGAAACTGACAGAAGTGCCATGAAATTGCAGTGCAAGCTTGATAATTATCTTCTTCATTATTTTTTAACATATATCAAGATAAATATAGCATTTCTTTCCACTTTTAATAGCATGCATTAGTATAAGAAGATGAGAAGAAGGGCGTTCATCTCACAGTGTTATAGTTAAAGGCAATGACAAAGAAAAGGGTGTGACATTAACGATGTGCAAGCATCAGTGCTGTTAATTGACATCGATTACATAATCATTCTATAAACTATGCACACAGTTAAAAGAAAATAACATGTGCTTTCTTTGCATGGCTGTAATCGCTGACAATGATCATTAAGAACAAGGACATAATGAAATTAGGGATGGATAAAATGATTTGTTTCTTGTCTCAATTGAATCGATATTTGACTGTGGCAAAACAGTTGACGTATAAAAAATTCAAATGTAATTAATTTATTGTCATTTGAAAATATACTTAGCAATTCCTGAGCTCTTTGAGTCCTTTATATACCCAGCTCTTAACTTAATATACTTCATTAGATTTCCATTTCCTCTAAGTTGATTCCTGTGAAATTTAACATACATCATGAGTTTCTTACTAATAATGTCATTTAAATTTTTAAAATGAACTTCTTCCTAACTTCTTTACTTAAATATAAAAATAAGTGGTGATATTTTGAAGAAAAATTCCAAATCTACAGTATTTAGTAGCTAAAATCATGTTGCTTTTTTTTTTTGCAGTATTGAAAACTGAACCAGATCCTTGCACATACTGAACAAATGTTTTACACTGAACTGCTTCCCCAACTCTTGATCTAGCTCCTGCTTGAGTTTACAAATATTTTTTAAAACTAGAGTTGAAATATACAAGGTTAATGTAGCCATAGAATAGTGCAAATGACACCATGTCTTTTGATCCTTGATCATATTTAGTTATTCAAAGGCTGATGGAATCTAATGCAAATTTGGGGCCATAATTAATTTATCAAAGGCATTATAGACTATTTTTAATCATAGTGCAATGTTGTTTTCAGAGATTTTATAGGTACTGAAGTCATAATAAATGAAAGAGATTAAATAGTTTTCTGAATATTATCCAATTAGTGGGATAATCAGCCTCCTTCCTGTCTAGCTTTATTCAATTATTACAGGAAATACATTGTATGTGATGAGAGAGATAGACGATTTTAAGGTTGACAGAAACACCTTTTTGTAGGTAATCATCAAGATATTTTCCAAACATTCAGTGTA